ATATTAATAGACTTGAGCAGGAAGTACATCTACTTAAAATTACTAGATTTTAAGGCCCCCAAAAGACATCAAGTTATAAAAAAAGATTTTTTTTAACAAAAGCCAAGTCATTTAATACCAGCACACTGGTTTATTTTATATTTTTGCATTAAGATATATCGTGACAATTTTTTTCTACATGGTGTACTTATTTCAAATATTTTCCACAATTAAGTAAATCAAGTAGTTTCAAATCAAAATATTAAATTTGTGCAGAATAAATGTCATGCTTATAGTTTCTTATAGCTTTTTAAAAGCCAGGATGCAACTTAAAATAGTATTTTTGTACAGTATGTAAAATAATGCAATTTTGTAGCATGTCTTATATTAATTGTAAGAGTCAAATAGCCAAGATAGTAAAATTAGCTCTCAGTTTTGACGACCTTTAGAGGGCGCAGTAGAGCTGGACTAAACATCCACCCTCATCCCGGGTTGTCTGTGTCCGCGGAGGATGCGTTTCGGGGCGGATACAATCTGTCCCAGGCGTTGTTGCCTCTCTGCTGTTCCCATTTCGGTGCGTCCCTTAACGGTCCGACATCACGCTAAACTGTAAGTATGCTAGCACCGCACTGCAACACCGCCCTTACACCTGATGTTTCTGCACATTAAAAGAAAGATTTTGTTAAATTGACATTTTAGACAGTTGTCGCCTTTCTTTGTTGATAGCTTCTTGGAGGCGATCACGTGACAGCTAGCAGATGACACTAACGATATCAAGCTGAAGATGAGCCCGAAGCTACTATATCATCATTTTTATTTATTTTATTAGTTATCCAATCAAATCCGTCGAACAARGAATGATAAAGCTGCTTGTTTCATTTCTGCTACGACGTTCAAAGCAGGTCTCTGTTGACCAAACACTTAGTATAAAAAAAATTCCCACGGTTTCAACTTGCCTTTAAACTACACACAGGAGGATGAAGACAACCATACAGATCCAGTAATATTCTGTATTACAGTGTTAATTACTCCTGTGGAGACAGCAGTTGGCTGTGTTTAGTGTTAAACCTGGCATTTAGGAAATCTTCAGTTGTTTTTGTTCTTTCTGTGTTTCTAGAAACCAGTTTCAGCAACAACACCCCTGCTTTTCCCTGGAGATGCTTTGTTTATTCATAGTTAGGGCTGCCACAAACGATTATTTTAATAATCGATTAATCACCGATTATTTATTCGATTAGTCGACTAATCGGATCATACGTTAATTGAATATAAAACATAGAGCTTATCACGTCAGAATGCAGCTGCTATTGTATAACCATGGGTAGCCATGATACCAGAGCCTGTCTGTATAATGTCTTGTGACGTCCACGGCCTAC